ACTGGTGGAAATATGATAAACATGAGATGCCTGTCATGTAACGACATGAATACTTGCTACGCTGATGATGAGATCGCGGCTGTTTCGCTAGCTTCACATGTACCAAACTCGGTATTACGCAACGCGAACGGACGACATAGGTAAATGACACATCCAAAGATGATAATCGCGACACTCGTGTCATGTAACAACATGACTTCGTGCCACACTTATGATGCGCCTGTGGCAGTTTCGCAAGCTGCACATATGCAAAATTTGGTATTACATGATGTCAATGGATGACGAAGGTATGTGACTTGTCCAATCATAATATTCATGAGATGCGTGTCATGTGAGAACATGACTACATGCCACAGTCAAGGCACCAATACATTTCGACGCGTCGTGGTGTGCGTGCTCGCCGACATTTGTTTCATCGCGTCACGCCGGCGTTGCCACGACAGGCGCCCGTCCTGCTATATACTCGAAGGCGCGCGCCGTGCTGCGTTGCTTCGACGCATGCGCGTTTCAGCGCGTCCGGCGTCCCTCCGGTACGAAAAGGGGGAGACGCAGTGTTATCTGGGTAACGCATCGGCTCGAAATGCAGCATGTCGCACTTCACGTCGGGTGCCGCCGAGCTGCGCCGACAGACGAAGGTCGTGCCTGTCGCGTCTGGCGTCAGACTATAGAGTGCTCGCTTTTTGCTAACGCAGCGTCACTGTTCCCAGTGTGCGCACGCTTCAACGCTACATTGGAGTATATTGGGCTCTTCATGATGCACTCGCGACCGTTTTGCTAGCTCCACATATACCAACTTTGGCGTTATTGACGTCAATGAATGACAAAAGAATATGGCTGGTGCAAGCATGATAATCCTGACAGGCGTGTCATGTAAGAACATGACAACATACCTCGCTCTCTTGGCCGTTTCGCTAGCTCCACATATACTTAATTTGGTATCACGTGACGTGGATCGTTGACGAAGGTAAACGACACATCCAAACATGATAATCATGAGGCGGAAATCAAATACGGCATCATTTACCTCCACCGCGTAACGTCCTACTGACTCGAAAGTGCCATATAAACATTTCTCATTCGGGCTTCGCATATCATCGATTGCCACTGTTCGTGGGGTCTGCCAAATTTTTTACCTGCGAAAACAATTGTGATGTATCTCAGCGGCTGTGTTTTCTGTCAGTTGTAAACAATGAGTTCACGTTATAGCTTTCCGAAAAATATCACAGCATATCCACGGAGTGAATGATGATGAGTGGGGCGAAGCACTGGAAGTTTTCATAGCTAAGTCATGAACCACCCACGAATATCGCCCACTACGTCTTCAAAGACGTGAAAAACACTGTATATATATACACAAGAAATTTCATACTCGCAAAATGTAGCTCTACCTCAACTCCGTTCCCCCTCGGTGAAGTAGTGATACGGTGATGGGGCATAGTGGGATGTTGCAAGGATGAAGTAGTGGGCAGTTTGCAAAATTGCAACTACAAGCGGTCACGTACAAACAAGAGATGACCACAGTGGGACAATCTAGGGTTCTTGAACGCGCATCTGGATACAAGTACACGACCTTGCATCTCATTTTGGCTATGTCTCAACAATAAGTGTTTTATGGTCGGTGAAGTGATGTATCGATGATGGGGCGTGGTAGAATGTTTGCAAGGACGAAGTAGTGGACAGTTGCCAAAGGTTAAACTATAGGTTGTCATGTACATACATAGAAGGAATACACATACCCAAGCCTTTAGGAGTTTCGCCCCCAAAACATGTCGCAAAGTGCGGCTTTAGTATATGCTGTCTGTTCTTTAGCTCATAGGTAACCTTCGCGCTACTAAGCTTTCAGTTTCTACGTTGTATGCAAAAGCAATAGAGTCCCCGACTCTATGCGCTGTCTTCTTCTGTCATACTAAGTATATTGCTCTCGCACAAGAAGTCATTTCTATAGGTGCTTCAATATGCGGCGTTCATAGTATACATCGCACGTTTTTTTCTGTGGATATGCTATACGCAACCTATCAGAATATCCTACTAAGGGCTAGGAACCCACACTTAGAGGATCTCATCGCGTGTAACTGGAGGAAGCGCTGGCAATGCGGCAGCTCTAAGAAGTGTGGTAGCTTTTGTGCGTTCGTACCCGCAAGGTGGAACGAAGCGAGAGAACACTGAACGTGTGAATGTAGCAAGCATTCTGCAGTGATAAAACATGCGACAGTGGCCAATCTACCCGAATTGACGATGCAGCCACAGCCGGTGCCCCTTCGTGCTCCTCCAGCGGACCGATCTGATCGGTGGGCTTCATCTGTGATAAGCCACACTCGTCTGCAGCGTTCACAAGTGCCGCGCCACGGTGGTATAGTAAAATAGTCGGCTGCTGACCTCCAGGTTGCGCGATTTTGATGCACGTTAAAGAACCCCAGGTGGCCGAAATTTCCGGAGCCCTCCACTACGACGCCACTCCTAATTATATGGTGGTTTTATGACGTTGAACCCCACATCGTAATGACCCTCAATAGAGGGTTGACAGTATTCCTAAATAAAATAAATAAACAAATAAATGCATATCAATTGACCAAATCAGTGTTCAGAAGCTTTCTCTCGTTCTTTGAACTTGGCATGCACGGGGCGTGATGACAGAACTTGATGACGGAAAAAAGGTGCTTAGAGTGTTTATGTAATGGCTAGCACTTCACATTTCGTGGGAGTTGGGTTGCAAGCAGAAAACAGCACCTTGATCCTGTATTTCATGGTTTATAAATGCGTTCCCTCGAATGCAGAAAACAACGCATGCGGTATACAGCGTATATTTGATTGCCATAAAGGTTATGTGCAATACGTAAACAATATTTTAAGATCTCTGCATCAGGTCATTCCAGTACTAAATACTCTAAGCATCTTTGATATGGTGTGAACTTATCCAAGCCATTCACAGTCGTTTACCCACCGAAGCTCTAATATCTCGCCCCCGTGGTTTATTCACGACAATCATTGGGTGTATTATTCGCAATTTCCTGATATTCGGGGCCCATATGTTCGCTTCTTCATTTTTAGCGAACCAGTGGCAAGTAGTAGGGCTTGCCCTGTTCCCGTAGCATATAACGAGGTATTTTCAGTCATACAAGATGCCCAAATCAGGAGCTTGCTCACCAAGCTTCTTGCGCCCAGGGCATGTTCTTGTTCTTGTTCGCCTATTGACTGTGGCGCATACCCACTATAGAGGATTGGCCAAGAATCGAGTAGTTATAATTATTATTGTTCTGGTTTAGAATGTCCTTTGGCATGTACGCTAGATGCACAGCTGTGCAACGTACCCACTACAAACCCGCCACAACTTTCATGAAGTAGTAAAGCATCCTCCATGACACTATGCCATTCGTAGTTCTCCTGATAACCGAGGTACCCACTAGACATTTGTGAGGCATCATGCGCGATTTATGTTGCGAAGAAGGCTCGTTGACAGGTTGACCTCGAAGTGAGAGACCGCTAAGCAAACGCGGCACGTAAGCGGTGGCGAGAGGACGTCGATTTGTAACCTGTATTGATATTGCCTTCTCCAACTTTTATTTGATGCCTCTTGCCCCGCCGCGGTGGTCTAGTGGCTAAGGTATTCGGCTGCTGACCCGCAGGTCGCGGGTTCAAATCCCGGCTGCGGCGGCTGCATTTCCGATGGAGGCGGAAATGTTGTAGGCCCGTGTGCTCAGATTTGGGTGCACGTAAAGCACCCCAGGTGGTCAAAATTTCCGGAGCCCTTCACTATATGGCATCTCTCATAATCATATGGTGGTTTTGGGACGTTAAACCCCACATCAATCAATCATTTGAAGCCTCTAATTCGAGGTCTCATCGTCATATACTTCACCCACCACAAAATTCAAACTTCAGAGAAAAACGAATCTCACAGCTTTGTAATCAGTCGTGTATTCCTTGTATATATTTCTATCGATATGTTGTGATTATGTCCTGTGTGTATATATGCGTATATTTAATTACCCCTATAACTACGTGCAACGTATTTGTATGATGGTCAAGAACTTGTACAGAAGATTAATGGGTGGTCGCGGTCAGTTACGAGCAACCTCCTTCATCATAGTTCACTTCGTAGAGATAGCGGGATGTCTTGCTGTCGCCGGGACCCAGCACAACTTTGCAGTAAAAAAAAATCACGCAGTATAATCCTAGTCTATGCATCGAACCTTAATATCGTGAAGTGAATCTGCCCTGCCTATGATGCATAGAAAGTCAAATTCAACTTAGAGCTTGCAGATGGCTGCATAAGTTTCTAGAATCAATTCCTTGTTGACAGCCCTGCGCTATTAGAATACGTGAATTTCGTCAGGAAGCGAGTTGTCAAAGGGAGGTGGGAGGTGCTAGGGGTTTGTAGTTGCATTGCGCTGTCAAACTATTCAGCAGAACTGACGCAGCTGCAGTAGATTACTAAGACTTGAATACAATCATTCTTTTAACTAAATACACAAAATGATAAGGCCGGGTGGTACGTTGAAGCGAAGGGGACGTGCAATCAGTTAAACTGCTTGTGCTCACAGAATGGTGCCGTCACATTTTCTCATTGTGCGTATGTCTACTGGCTATTTCATTGTTTTCGAGGGCATGCGAAAACGTTTTTCAAGATCATAGCAGGTATAATTTCCTTGAACTCGTTGAGGTTCAGTGTAAAAAAAAAATAATTTCGTATGAATTCAAGGATGCTGCATGGGGCAGCGGATCGCGCTGAATTCGGCGAAGTAACAAAAACTTGTGATTATTCAGGCAAAAGAAGAGAAGATGCTACAGCGCTGCTTTTTTTCAATCTATTTGCCATCACCGAACAATCTATTCGTTCACGATGTCATTGTTTTAACCTACACATCGCAGCGTTTCTATATATTCAAATTATTCACAATGTTATCAATCACTCTCTAACATATCTGAATGTCCGAGCTTGAGAAGAATGCGTCATGAAATGTGGCCGTTGCACAATGTTTCACGTAAAAAAAAAGGCCGGCACTGTTTAAAACAGCGACGAAAATTGGTTCTAAGGGTAGGTGCGACTTCGTATTGTTTGTACGTGGCATAAAAGACCTCCCACTCATCAAGAAGGGCCCCTACGCCTCGTGCGTCGGTTTCAACATGGCGAAAATTATTAGCCTTAGTCTACTGGCCTTTTGTGCGTTGCTTCTTCCTACATATGGACAAGAGGCGCAACCACAATTAGCGGACCTAAAAACGGGAGGCGCAGGTGGCGGATCTGCAGGTTCGGGTTCAACATGGCTGCCCAGACCAGGTTTGGGAAGAGGTAAGCATGAAAAGATTTTACAGTGACAGCCGTTTACTTCGGAGCACTTTACTTCAGATAAAGCTTTGGAGTTTAATGCGACCGTAGATATGAAACTGTCCTTGGCCACTACTGCTGATCCACCTATTACTATACGGGAGTAACGTTGAGGAATTCCGTTCGACATTACGCCAAGCAATGTGTGTTTACGCGTCATCCATCACACATATCACCAGGCCCTTATTAACAACATCCATTAGCAATGATGAAACTAATACATATAATGAACGTATCTTTATCCTGCTAGTGATACCCGGAGGAAGGATCGGCTTGAAAGCCCGTATGCAGATACAAGTGAATGATCTAGTGTTCTTATCAGCACAGACTGGACATGATTCAGCTTTTCTTTTCGCATTAAACTCAAGCAGACACAACGTGCAGTGATTGTTGCAGACATCTTCATTTCCTCAACTAAAATAAAACGATCATCTCTTTGTAGATCGGCAACATGTGTGATGTCAAAGCCTCTAATGGGCACTTCCAAAAATATTTTGGCCACTTACAAAGTATAGGCTTTATGCAGCAATATATAAAAACAGTATTGTTCTATCGTTTTTGAAAGTGTGTAGGAACCTAACAGAAGCAGATGCAACAAGTTCTTGCTAGCGGTGATGAGAACACTGACTGCTGTCTCAACTGACAAAGTAGCTCTCTAGCTCAGTTGGTCAAATGCAGCAAACGTTGTAATAGCAGTAGCAGCCAGGGACACTCAAGACACTGTTTAAAATAAAGAAGTGAGACATGGGCTTGGAGCAAGGCCCGAGAGACTTAAAGAAAGAAAATAGTGAGGCAGGAGATGCGGAGCAAGCCCCCATCGAGTAAACGTAATGTTCCCGACCTACGAATAATATTTGTTGCCGACACTCAAAGCCCAAAAATGTTAAGAATCGAAGACCCGTGGTTGTAGGTCAGGACCACGGCATTTCCTCGATGGGGCCTTGCTCTCCATTTTTTTACTTCGTTCTTTCTTTTCTCTAGGTCTCTCGGGCATCGCCCCAAGCCCATGCCCCACATCTTTATTTTTAAGACACAATAGAATCGACAATGATTTTCACCCCAAGCTGTATTCTAAGAAAAAACTCTATACCTAGATTCTAACACAAAAAAAATCAACACCCACGTAAACTCACAGTGTTCAGAGAGTCCAATTCGAATGCAGGCAGCACGTGTGTAAAACCGAAAGCCCGCTGACTCACCTATTATTGGACCTCGCCATGGATTGCCTTCGGCAATCTTACGAGCACTTTTTACTTCATTCTTACAAACAAAAATGTGCTCTTTATCGAAAGCTTTGCACAATCACTATAATGCACAGCCATGTCAACATCCCCATGTTTGCTGCATTTCTGCTCTTGGCATATTAGCCTGCCACTCCAGAATTCGCCCGACTGTGTCCCTGTTTTTCGTTTTAATTCTGCTAGCATTTTCCTGCATGCATGGTATAACCCCGATACGTGAGGTTCACAGTTGAGAGAAACAAAATATTGTGCTGTTCTTACCTCAATTTTATTTTTCGCTGATCCTCGATTGTTTTATAGAGGCTATGGTGGTCGAATGATGATCCAGAATCACAGAGTTCAAGCGCAGTCACGCCTTTTGATCACCTTTTAATTGTCGCCTTTTGCAAGAGGCGAAATACGAAGAGCTCGTGTACACATACTAAGGTGCTTGTTAACGGACCACAGGCAAGCGACAGCTATACAGCCCTAACATACAGAGAATTTCAAACTAAATCGTACTTCGGTCATGTAAAACACCTGAAATGCGGGCTTTTTTCTCTCTCAGAGGCTTTTCAGTCACCGAGAAAGCAAAAAAAAAAACTCTTATGCATTACGGTTTTTCACAAGACATGGTGAAGCAAGCACACTTCGATATATGCCTGTATACTTACTGATCTACCTAAAGAGACCTTTTTAACTAGTTCGAGAAAGCACTTGAAGACGGTATTCTTTGAATCGTGAAATGTAATTTGTTATTCTGAACCACTTCTAGGAAATATGACATTGGTCTCCTTTCTGTTCATTTTTTACTTTATGGCCGACGAACGAGCATTTGTTTCAGTGATTAACCTGTTCACTGGAAAACGTTAGAAAATAAAATTGAGAATGAATGTACGAATAAACTTTCTTTACAGCCCCGCAATTTCCTTCAGGCGAGGCGTACATATATAAGAAAAACATTAACATATATCTACTACATCACCAAGAACTACGATTAGTGTTTGTTTAGTGACGTACTCTGACTACCGCCTTTTCGAAAACATGCAAGAAAAGCTCCTCTTTATAACGTCGTTATGAAACGTGGATATTCCTCTTACTAGGTTGTACTTAGCCACATACTTTGCCATCCTGGGTACAACGGTGTCTGGGCTCTTAATGCTTGTCTAATGGATGTTGCCTGCCCTCCTCAAAACATGATCTTGTTGCTGAATAAAATAACTGTTCCAATATGAAGAGCTTTATTAGGTGGGGTCGTTGTCTCATCGCTGTAACCGGCTTTCCCGGGCCTATGCACACAGGCCTTGGCAGCCCTGGACAGGCCCGTTTCCCTGCAATCTTTCTAGTTGTGAATTTTGAAGGGTACACAATCATAATAAAAGTATAAGTTATTATTATCAATAATATTATTCACAAAGTTTATTATCACTGGTCACTGACAAAAGCTTTTGAATTCCAGGTTGCCGGCGACGTCGGGAAATTGTGAAGAGATGCGTGAGCAGCAGCTGTGGTGAATACAAATGCTCAGATCTCCACCGCTTTAGCCAGAGAGTGTGTACAGCTGACTGCCGAACCGGGTGCTTCTGCGCATGGCCCTTCTTCAGAAACAATGACGGACGTTGCGTACACTTCTGGCAGTGCTACACTTACAGGCGTCCCAGACGGCCGGCACTGTCTGGTAGCATAGGCGGCGCAGTCGGACCGCAGCCTGGCGTGGACCAGGGGGATGGTGTATTGGGTGCTGGGTGGCCCACCACACCTGGCTTTGTGCCTGGTGGTGCCTGGGGAGGCCCGAGTGGCGTACCGAACAGTGGCTGGGGCTCTGCATATGGGCAATATCCCGGTGCCTGGGGCGGAGCGTCATATCCTCAATATCCTGGAAGCTGGAGTTCCCCAGTCGGCAATGGGGTTTTCGGAGCAGGCAACGGGGGTTTCGCAGTTGGCAACGGAGGCCTCGGAAGTGGCTCCGGTGGTTTGGGAGTTGTGAGTGGTGGCGTCGCAGGTGGCAACGGTGGCTACGGAATCGGTAGTGGGAGCTTCGGAGTTGGTGGCGGTAGCAGCGGGGTTTCGGCGAGTGGAGCCGGCATCAGTGGAAGCACAAGCGGTGGCCTCGGCAGTATTACTGGCAGCGGGGCTTTCGGAAATGTCAACGCGGGCGCGACCAATGTCAAAGTTCAAGGTTGATGAGCAACAGCATTTATGAGTCCAGTGACCATCACGAGCGATTCTTTCAGCGAATTGCATGTGGTGCTAAGTAAAATAAATGATGTTGTGGTGCTGCGTAAAATAAACGTGTTTCAAAAGCCTATTTTTTTTTGTCGTCTGAAACCGTATCAATGTACGATTCTGAAGTGGAAAATCACCAGGGTCTTGAATTTAAGCTGACATTTTAAAGGAAACTAGATAGCATGAAAATCATAAACCCCGTTACACGGAAGAACCTTGTTGCGAAATAAACGAAAGAATAATGATGAGGTGAAATACTGAAAGCTAGCTTCAAAATTAAAGTGCAAATTTCTAGCATAAATGGACAATACAGGAAATGAGTATATACACTATGTTTTAACATAATTCTGTAGTACATTTGAAAGCTCTGCGGTTGTTTCACTAAGCGTGCGCTTTTATTAGGCAATTTACTTAGCCCTTGCACTTATGTCAGACTCGGTAGACAGGAGTCGTGAGTTCTACGCCTGGTGATGGACCTTTTTCATCTATCTCTAGAAACTGTTGATGAACATTTTAGAACGTCATATATATGACAAAAATATTTCAGTAGAGACATGGTGGACACGGTTAAAACACTTCTGCGTTAAAATTGTATTTAGGCAAGTACTGCTGTTTAGTAGAGAGGTTAATCAAGACTGGGTTACCACACGTATCAGTTTGAAGGAAGGTCTAGCTACCAATTGAGTGACTGATGCATTGTGGGAAAGGGGGCTCACTCTTGGCTTATCCGATTAATTTGCAGCCCCAGCGCACACTACGGGGCTCTCCGTCTGAGTCCTGGAACTCCTGTATCAGTCTCCTCGTTGGCCATGAACAAGTGCGAAGGCGCCCAGTTGATTGGCAGAAAGCAGTCACCATGAAAGTAAAACAGAATCAGCCGTGCTTTGAAAGAGAAGTGCCTGTCTGCGTAACTTAAAATTGAGATCGTTTACAATCACAGTGACCACAATCAAAGCCATTGTAGAGGAATGCAAGTTTCCTGAGCCAATCCTCCTTTTTCTCATACAGATCTAGCATCAGGGTTTGCTCCAAAAACTGCTTCTTTGTTCAGAGCAGTCCATTGCTTTTTACTGGAATTGACACCTGAGTGACCTTAGGGACATTCTTCATTTACAAGTACGTGCTGTCGAGCACTTCCAAGTTTCGAATATTCTTAAAAGTTTGAAAACAACAGTGATAGGTTGTTATGGTTTATGGTATAGCTCTATCGAATCCGTATAATCCCGGAACACAACTTTACTTAAAAAAAGAGGAACTAACCGTCAAAATTATAATAAAGATAACTGGTTAGTTTCACGCACAAGTTATGACCAGTTCGGATAGCTGCGATACTTCGCGGAGCAGATGTCAACCACGCACTTCTATTTACGTGATCTTTAAAGACCGCTTCAGTAAACTATAAAATTGTTAGTTTGGGTTCACGTTAGGCGTTATCTCAAAAACACATATTGGAACATAAACTCACTTAAAGAGAGGGTAATCAACTGTCAGAACACCTAGGAAAAACCATTGAGTTGCTTTGAAGAGAGAAAGAGAGAATGAAACAATTATTCATTCTTTCAAATGATAAAAACAGCGAGGGGGCTTCTTTCGTTCGTTATCTCATTCAAATTGTCAACCTTCCTCCCATTTTTCCTAATCGAAGCTCTATACATTCTCAGTAAAAGCTAACATCCGTATTCACAAACACTCCTCGACTCGACTTTCACCCTTCACCTGACAGAGTTGAGCAGTGCGCCACTGCTCGACTGAAAATGACGCTGCGCTACTCAAGAATCGCAGCAGATTATCCCTGATATCCAGTGACTTGACGTTTTTAGAGGTGGCGCGGCCATCAGCTTTCTCAAGTGAAGGTGAAGCATTGAGTGAAGGGACGTAGAATACGGGGGTAGGAGACCCTTATTTGAAGCATACGAGCAGGTGGCGTCGTTCCGCCATCTGGCGGATATGGATCTGATCCCAATCACGCGCTTTTTTTTTGTTTGGCCTCCGAAATTAGTTCCGGGAGTACGTGAGGTACCAAGGTAAGCCAGGCAATACGCAGCAAGGTCATTCACCGCAAGATCCTTTCGGCGCAAGATATACCTAGTCGGACATTTCTATTCTTTATGCAAGTAAATTGATGGCTGGTTCATGTAGGCGCTACCAGATTTATGGAGAAGCCAGGCCTCCACAACCAACACGTGTGTTTCTTCATAGTGCAGAGATTATGCTTTAATCGTGAGCATGTATAACAACGCATATTCATCGCCCCGCCGCGGTGGTCTAGTGGCTAAGGTACTCGGCTGCTGACCCGCAGGGCGCGGGTTCGAATCCCGGCTGCGGCGGCTGCATTTCCGATGGAGGCGGAAATGTTGTAGGTCCGTGTGCTCAGATTTGGGTGCACGTTAAAGAACCCCAGGTGGTCGAAATTTCCGGAGCCCTCCATTACGGCGTCTCTCATAATCATATAGTGGTTTTGGGACGTTAAACCCCACATATCAATCAATCAATCAACGCATATTCATCGATATTTGGCGGGCATTTACACTCTCCACAAAGCAAAGGTAGACTGAATGGTGAGCGCCCAGTTTGGGCTTCCAATTTCTCGATTTGGCATACCGGCTCCTCGGCCTAATGTGGGAGTAGCCAAAGCTAAAATGTACCCTATATACAAAACATCTACGGCAACCGGAAGCTTTGTTTTTATGTGAGTATGTTGCTTCAGAAATGTAGCTCTGTTCACCTTTCGTCTATTGCTTGCTTACTGTTCTTTTTTACCGGAACCTAAACTATTAACAGACAAAATAATTTTATTCCACAAGTAATTATGTTGGTTTCTAAGAAACGCTACAGCTGACAGTGGCTCGGGCTGCAATTTGCTAAGCTATCGTCAGAGACGACTAAATATGCAACAAGGAAACCAAAACGAAGCTTATTATTTTTTTCTTCTATGAGACACATCAAACAATAGATTCGTTCACAGATTCAGTATTTTTATCTGAAGGACATGACATTTGTATTTGTTTAAGTAATTTGACATTTTCTATCAATCACCGCCCACAGCATTCCCTTTACGAAGTGTACAGCAGGACATCTATAAGCAGTGAACAATGTTTCCCACAAAAAAGAAAAAGCTGGAACTATAGAAAGCAGTGGCAAAGACATTGGTGGAAGGTACTCGGGGCTTAGTATTGTTTAAACGAGTAATAAAAGCCCATCGAGTGGTTTACAAAGGCTCCGCATTATTGCACGTGTTCTGTGCAACATGGCAATAATTTTCAGCGTTAGCCTGCTGGCGCTTTGTGCGTTGGTCCTGCCTACAAACGGACAACAAGCGGAACCGCAATTGGCGAGCGTAAAGACGGGAGGGCCAGGTTTGGGACCTCAAAACCCGGGTACACAGTTGCTACCAGGGCCAGGCAGAGCTCCAGATTTGAGAAAACGTAAGAAAGTGCATGTTTCTATTATCTTAGTCAGATAAGAGTCAGTCAGGTTAGTTACTCCCCATGCAAGTGGTAGTCATAATCACATTGTCTTGTTGATGACGTGAAAATGAGTTCAACCAGCATTCCATAGCGTTTTATTGTTAATCTTTCGTCTGGCACTTTGGTCTCTCACTTTAAAGTCAAAGTATACCGAAGGCCGTGGTGAGGAATGAAAATGAAACTTGCATATGAAGTGCTTGTCTCTTTAAGTAAAGTGACTATTGGTGGTAGGTTTAAGTAGATAGTAAAAGTACGCAGGAACAGCAATTATTGACACTGAATGACGACAAGTTCATCATCTTTGTGTGCTTCATAAAAGTTTATAAAACAAAACGTTAGCGTGCACACTTTTTTCGTTCATTTCATTATCACAGTGCCTTAATAACGACGTTTTGTTGACTACCCATTCGAAACAATGCCACTTTTTTGCTGGACATATCAAATCTCTGGTTATTCTCATATATATCAGCTTGTTTGTCTGCATCCAGGGCAACGAAAAAGAGAGAATGCAAGTGAACTTCTATACTGAAAGCGCACTATTTTACCGATTTATTCTCCGAATGTGTACGTGGCTTTCCTCTAACTCTTTTCAAGATGTGTAGAGACGTTCACTTGGCAGTGTGGCAGTCTCCCCATTGCTCATCTCGTTATCGTTCTCTTTGCGTTATGTTGACGCATGAATAAGAAGTTTTGAACTCTTCAAAGGGCCCGAAACGTAGTGGTGGGACCCGCATTGCTCATCTCTTCATAAGTAAGGCCCACAGTCGAGCCTCCATCATGACGATGATGGGTCAATCAAGTTCTATGATTAACTTACTGAGTTTGGTAATATTTACATGGAGGCATGTTTCATAATAATCTTCACTTACAAATCTTACGTTGAAATATCTCCAATCAGCTTCTTGCGTACGTCTCATTTTGTCATGCAGATTTTTTAACGCGTTTACGGATCTTCTCAAAATGCCAAGGTTTTCTATTATTCGACAGTGAGAAGCACGTTTATCAAAGCACGCACTATAACAAGATGCAGTGCCTTTCTTTTGGCGTGATTTGTCCCAACAGTAATTATGGGGAAATCAGGAAGACCAGCTGGAAAATTTCAAGTAACATTACTCGCAAAACGTACAGGTAGATTCCTTCAGCATTAAGTAAAATCGAAAACCTATGTTCGACCTATACCATTTTCTGTGTCTTGATTTTTCATGTAGGCACCTACTTCTATAAATACGCTTTTAAAATCTACTAGAAAAGATGAATATTCCACTTTTAGAAAGTGTTGCATGTAAGTGATGCGATTGTGTTCATAAAGATTCACGCTAAACTTCACTAATCCGTGATATCGTAATTTCAGGTTGCCCACGCGGTAAGGTCTACAAGGAGTGCGTGAGCAGCACCTGTGGCGAGTACAAATGCAAGCACCTTTACCGATTTCGAGAGAGGAAATGCACAGCTGACTGCCGGTCTGGTTGCTTCTGCGCATGGCCTTTCTTCAAGAACAATGACGGACGCTGTGTGCCATTCTGGCAGTGCTACACCTACACATTCGGCAGATGGTTCGGACGACGTCCTTCGGTTGGCAGGAACCAAGGCGGTGAACAACCTGGCAGCTCGAGCTCAGCTACTGGACCCAGCCCCTCTGGTGCAGTATCAGGACCGCAGCCTGGGGTTTCCAATAACGTGGTTAGCCAATTGCCTGGTAGGTCAGGCCAATTGACTGGTCAGAGGCCTGGTAGTCAACCAGCCGTACCAGGATTGCAGCCTGAAGGCGGTTGGAACAGCAGTGAATAGCTTAGACAATGGAGTTTGGAGCGGTGGGCCTGACGAATACCTTGCAAAAGTTTGGGGGGTGCCGACGCAACGATATGCTAATAGTTGGGGTTTCACAAATGGCAATGTAGGTTATGGAAGTATGGGCGGCAACTTCTTAGGTGTGAACAGTAGCCCCTTAAATGGTATTGGTGGCGCCTACGGAAATGGAATCGGTGGCCTCGGAAACGTAAACGGGGGCTTCGGAAGTGGCATCTCGGACTTCCCAAGTGGTAATACAGGCGTCGTAAGTGGTGCTGGCGGCATGCCAAATGGCATTAACGACATTGGAGGAGAAAACAGCGTTTTCGGAAGTGCCGGAATGGGCCTCTCAAGTGGAAATACGGGCTACGGGACCAGCGTTGTAGGTACTGCCGGTGGAAACGTGGGGTTCTCGCCCAGGGATCTCGCAGTAGGTCTGGGTGGCATCCCAAGTAGCAGCGGAGTTTTCGGACCTGGTAACGTTGCCCCAGGCAATGCCAAAGGTCTTGCATAGAGCAGTGCACAGGAATGTCACTTCTGTTTGTGTTGCTCCATTATATGAAAACATAACCGGGAAGAGATATGACATGCTATAAAATAAAGCACGTCATTACTTCAACATGTGTGATAAAAAGTAATGTTTATGATTACTAAACGTCTGGAAATATATTCTTGTAGTAAAGAAAGCGAAGCAAGTTTTGCTCTATAGCTTTCGTTTTAAAGTCTGTGTTCTAAAGAGGATGGTGACTATTCATACATCGCCAACGCTGTCGAAGAAAACATGCATTGCTCTATCAGTGAAGCAGACACGGCCTCTCTCTTTTTGTAAAACAAAAAAAATATATCTAGTGTTCTCACCCCAGTATGGTTGCAATTAAAACAAGAAAAAAGTACGATTTTTGCAGACACCCTGTACAACAGGGTACAATAGGGATGTCGAAAAAGCCTGAGTATCCCGATCATGGACGAACAGAGCGGACAAACTAGACTCTAGAAGACTAGTAGGGGGCGTCCCTGACACTGGTAAACCCCGAAGACAAGCTGCAGCTGTGGGGAAGGGCTCGGGGATCGGGGGCTAGCCACGGCTACCGGTCATCAGGAAGTCACCCATCTCTGGGCGAAGAGAATACGTGCCTGGTTGCACAATAAAGCTAAATTCTCTTTGTGAGCAGCACCATAGAAGCTGATGAAACTTCCAGGTAATCAAGGTTGACGTCTGCTAAAAGTAGCTCGAAGCTGAATCTTCGACAAATCGTGCCATGCTGCACATTGAGGTACCGTATACTCATGCCGGCTTCTTTGTTCTGTTTCTATTGGAATACTAGTGTCGATTCTCGTGCAAGTGTTACAAGCAGAGAGCTAAAAGCATCTGTTTCCGGCCACGAGTTTTTTCTACACAGCTAATCAAAACAATTCGATAATATCAGAGGCCAAGACACCGGCGAAGCACGCAGTCAAGAACACACAGCGTGGAAGCAGCGTATTATACAATACGAAGGCAAACTTGAACACACGTGTATGCACTATACGAAGACTTCGGGAAACGTCATTGTCTAACTTCTATTTGCAAAATCGTGTATGCAGCGTGGCTCAAGCAATTATACCCATTTTTATCACATCAGTAAACGACTTCGTTATGATTTATGTATGATACCTAAAGGAGCAAGAATATAACTACGGAGTTATTTTGCTCCTGTTTCCGAGTCTGCGAACTATAGGAACGAAAGTAGAAAGCATTGACACGAAATAGGAAATGGTCTTCGTTACAGCATGATGCCGAACTTATGTATTATGTGTTGATTTTCATCCCCAATGTTACGCCTTGAGAACTCGCGGGCTTACACTATGATTAAGGTGATGTAGTGGCGCTGCTAAGCACGCTCTTACAGAAGGGTTTGTGCCCAACCTCTTAAGGACTGATTAAAAAAATATTGGTGACGCTGCGGATGGGGTCAGCCGTTTGGAGTATCGTTTGGCCACTTTAGTGCCACTTGGAGTACCGTTAGGGACAGACAGACAGACAGACAGACAGACAGACAGACAGACAGACAGACAGACAGACAGACAGACAGACATACAGACAGACAGACCAAAATTTTCGCGTCGAAGGTCCCTATGAAAGACTGTCGTTTTCAAAAGATTTACTATTGGCATCGCTACGCCATGTATAAAACAATACCACTTTAAGGGAAGTCTTGTGAAGAGGGTCCTTACCAAGGCAAGGAGGGGGGGGGGGCGTAAGGTGTTCAAACCCACTCAAATTTTTCAGTTTTGCATGTGTACCAAGCAAAAAAAAACATGCGCGAAGATAAATGAACGCTTTGCATCATCAATACTTTGCAAGCAAAACCACCCAATCACTGAAAAATATATGTTTTTAAGGGATTCGTACATACTTTATGCATTATAGACACAGGTTCCCAACACTTTGAACGTCACATTTACGTAGGCCTCACATCGACGTAAGCCGCGTCCTCCAACTTGCGAACTACTGAACGCATATAATGTCACGACAATGGGTGCAATATCCGCAACAGCTGCTTCTCAAAACAGCAGAGGGAGAGAGCTGCTTACGCATTCTCGCCGTCGCAACGACATTGCTTCCGAACCTGCAATGATAGTTCAACGTTACTTGCGAGTGCGACGTAAGCACAGGTAATGCTAAATAAAAAGAAAACTATATGAGCAGAATAATCGCACCTATTCCTAAATAAACCTACTTTCTTTTCGGTGGCTCAGCAGTTGGAGATGCTAACTCCGTGTGTTTAAAAGCGATAAAAAATAATGCTGGAAAAAAAACGGAAGGTTGACACTCTTAGAATAGCAGCAAAAAACAAGCATCGCGGGGGGAGAGGACAATGCAAGAATACAAAGGGGAACTCGAAATGCAATGGTTAATTTTACTAGCGAGAGTATATAAACAGGGCATAAAACAATGCAAATAACCATTGTGCGCCTAGACAGCACGGCGGTAGCTAATTTATCTATCATTTACGTTGTGTGCCTGAGACAAATATATGGAGAGAGCAGAAAGAATGGCAGAGAGGTTACCGAAGTTTTCGCTTGGTTGGCTGCCCTGCACGAGGGGTAGGCGAAATGCAGAGTAATTTAAATGATAAAGATAAAATAATCAAAAAGAAGAAAAAGCAGAATTACCTATTTGTGTAAACATACGCACCGAAGCGTATTCAGCGGGTAAAACATTTTTATTTCTAAGACAAGTTACGGTCTGTTTTATGGCCGATCCCCCTTGTTGGTTGCGCCAGGCATATAAGGGCCAACCAATCAACCAACCAACCTTGAGGCAAGGTGTCTGCAGGACCAACGCTGGCAGTTTAGCTACGCTCGTAGAATTCAGTGGGGCTTTCGGGCCTTTGGGCACAGACAATGTCATGATCCAAGGTCTCAGGATTTTTTCATGATGGCGACCTTCCGTTGGGATACTCAAGTTCGGCTCCTAAAAACCGTTGTTTAGTTCGGAAGGATAGACAGCAGCATTCAATTTGCTAAATTGCTTCCTCACACTTTATACCACTGGTACACGTGACAGAAATTGACTGAACGAAATGGGACTGAACGAAACATTTCATTGACGTCATTCACGGTCGTTTCCCAGATTCAAGCTGGGGGGGGGGGGGTTTATCGACAGCATCGTAATGCTATCTGGGGGTCAGTATAATAATGCATGACCTCTTAGCGCAACAAGTCTAACGTCGGTGTTTGTACTGGCGTCGTTGGTTGTTAGCGAAAGACCCCCCATCTCTTCCCTGGCTGAAAATTTGAGGAAGCTGCAAATAAAATACTCTTAGACACATGAACACATATCGAAATCGGTCCTGATTTTATTAATGTTACCATATACTTACACTAGCAGATCGTGCACCGATCCTGGGGAAGTATAGCTAATTTAGAGCGTATATTGTTGCGATGCCCCTCGTTACTGGGTAGCAATCAAGCGAACCCGGTTAAGGGATGTTTTGTCATCAGAAGCCCACGACGTGGTGGTAGGGCAGCCTACGCAAGTAGGCTGCCTTACTTGCCTTAATGAGCAAGTAATGGGAATCTCCCAGTACTAGTTGCAGCAGTCGTATCTCCCAGTATTACAAATAATGTCGCATTAAGCATCCCTATGAATGTAATGTAGCTGGAGAAGTCTCTTTGACGCAGTTCATGATGATTGACTAAAGCGTAGAATCAATGGCAGGCGTCAAAGAATGTCTATGGAGCAAGGAGTCGCTGCCATAAAGTCCCGTACCTTACCAAGTGCTCAGACATACCTATCAATCAGTAGCAGCTGAAGTATCTAAAAAGCGAAATGCTGCGTCGGTTCGTGTGTTGACCTATAAAGCAGTAGTCATTCCATCACCGGTTCACGAAAGGAAAATTATGGCACAGTGGGCACTTAAAAACTGTGTTTGTAGTAGGTACTCATTGATACATTGAAACGGTGCGTGTTACGTGCAAAATCACGTAGAAATATCCCATAACACATGGGCATCTGGCAATCAGCTCTTTTCGAAAGGCGACCGCTGTTGCTGGCATCGAACTCTCTACATTCGACTCCATGGCAGAGCACCTGCATAATCACAGCGCCCGGCGTAGATCAACAATTTTTGAGTATTGGTAAACTATTTGAGGTTAGAAAAAGTCCTAACACCATGTCTGAGCATGATACTTGTCCGTCGCTGCATAAATGAGTCAGTGGTGTTACGCTTCTGATTCTGCTGTTAATATGCACCACAGACTCATTTATTTGGCTCTCTTTCCGTATTCTCGTATGACTTGTATCACATGAAAATGGCAGCGAGTGCTTCTGAATGCCACCAGGCAGATCGCTATCAGGTTGTTCTCAATTGGATCATAGTTTCGTAAGCGTTTTGATTAATATATAGTGAATTGTGCACTTAAACGCTGCGTCATGCACAATTGCTTTAGGTAGAAAGCATGCGAAGGAGAAAAAACAAAGGCTAACAATGTCTGCAATACTATCCGCGTTGCTGTTTACGAAACACAACACGAAAACACGTGAAACGATGTCTTTATTGTGCGCAAACCCGATGCCTGTTGCAGCAGCCTCAGTAAAAGACTGTTCCCTTACCTACTTGCGTAATGGATGAAGCCACAGAGTGAGCTATTGTTTATGAAGAAATTTCTTACCTTCGGAGTACGCACTGAAAAGCACGTGAACGCAAGTAAATCTGGGAAAGAGGACAGCTTTTACACTTTAAAGGATGACCTGTCACAAGCTGTATAATGCGAGTTTTGCTGCCTGCGAAGTGCTGCCCAAAAGAAAGGTATTTCGGGGACGGTATACTTTGCTTTTTGACGAATTGTAGCAACGCATGCCGGCTGCGCGGTTGAAAGTGATCGCGAAAGGCAGCTTCACGGCAGCCACACGGCAGCTTCAATATGCACACAGTGGGGCTTTAAGTACTCTGGTTGTAGTTCTTCCGCTTGTAATTGCGCTGTCCGCTAGGGCGACAGAAACACCTACAGCAAGTTTGACATTGCGACGTGGTAGTGAGCCAAGTAATGGCCCCCGGAGCAATGGGGAGTTTCCGGGTGGCCGCCTTCCTAAACCTACATTGACCGGTGGTGAGTTGGGGCCAGTTGGCAGCTTGCCAAGTTCTACTAAGAATGGTAAGACACCGCACGACGCGTGTTGCATTCTTCGGCAGTTCTGGGAGTGCCTTCTTTCTGAATCAATTCCATTTTCTCACTTCTAATGTCAACTCGATATTGAGATAGGGATGTCAAAAAAGTAGAGTTGGCGAAAAGCCAAATTGTAGCCGGCAGGGAAAGAACTTCCGCTGATCCGAATATTGTAGGTTCGGTCTCTCGCAAACGAAATTGTCTTTTCACGCTGCCTTGTTTATTTTTCACATAGACATCAAAATTACTAAAAATACATAAAAAAGTAAAACTAACACGTCCTTCGCCTTCCCTGCTGTCGTTATTGGGTGCACATGGTTTGCTTAGTGTTATGGTAAACAAACAAGCCCTAAGAAATTTGCTTCTTTCCTTGAATGAACAAGAGGACGACAATTTCAAGACTTCTTTTCGTTTATATAGTGCAACTATAATGAGAACCAACATAACTTTTTCGTCCTCAATACGAGTCATTTAAACTAAAACGCCTCTTTTCTCGCTCTATCATAGCAAGGGTCTGGTTCTGGCCAACTGGATATGGTAATGTATATGCAAGAGATCATCGGTCAGCTGCCACCTCGTAAACAGAATACGTGTTTCGTTATGCCAGTAGACAGAGAAACGTATTTCCCATTTTCCACACGCCGTTATGGCTGCTGGCAGCGCTGAATCACACTCGAGTGTCAGTCAGCGCCGCTACAGTCACCATGTCGTACAGCTCAGTTGATAGAGCATCGGACGCGTTACTCGATGGTCGCAGGTTCAGCCCCTGTTTGCAGGAAGTTATTGTTTCTTCCACTTGAATTGTTTCACATTTACATGATAACTTCTACAAATAAATCCTATACACATTCTTTGAATGTGTTGTGTTTCCTAGTAACCAGGGGCTTAGAATTGCAGAGATTGACGTAGTTGAAGAAGCTGACGTTTTGCGCGCGCTTCCAGTCCCAATGGCTCGATGGTCTCATTGAGGCATTGGACAACCATTCTCGTCTCACTTTCGTGCACACGCCTCCAAGCATTGCATCGAAAACAATGTCAGATTAGCGAGCTGTTCTAAAACACCCCGACGTAATGAAGAAACAGGTGTAAGCCGTGCAGAGAAAAATAGGAAGGCGAACAAAAATGACCGAGAAAGTTAGATGGTTCTACCTTTAAGATAAAGTAGCGGTTAAAGTGAAAGAACGCTTCTCAGCTGAATCCAAACCGGGCATTATTTCAGCAACCATATCTTTGTGCTTTCTAGTCTAAGTTCAAAAATACTAAAATAAGTCTAAAGACTAATATATTGTCTTATATAGTGTCCAAATGACCAGGTGAGGTAGGTGTTTTGCATTACGTTATTAGGCAGGCGCTTAAGTTGTTGAAGTACTACCCATGTGTCTAAAATCGAAAGTTGTTTCAAATGCAATATTGTGTTCTGGATATGGGATTTCGGTGTGTGTGGGCTTTCAATTCACTTACAGCGAGGCACATAATCACCGCTGAAAGCACGATTTGTACATGTACCGAACTTTTGGGATGACAGCAACGCACAATGACAATGGTGTTTCTGCAAGAGTGACTGAAAGTAAGAAAAAGAAAAATCGTGGTGGACAAAATGCTCATGTACAACCGCTGACATATTGTATGATATAACTAGCACAATAAATAGCCTTCTTTCAAGCGTTTATGTTAATCAGCAGTGGTGTGCTGTACTTGTGAGCTACATAATATCATATATTTTGTTACGCTTTTGTTTTTAAACAGACGCTTTTGGCTGTATGTGCGCTTTTCTTACCTCAAAATGTCAACATTGCATATTCAAGTGCGTCTTGCCTCCATCTGGCACTCTTTTCTTCATTGGTTTTGGGTACTGAACCAACGTATGCACTAATACCAAAATTTTGTTTCAGTAATAGGCTGGAGATAGGATCTAGTAGAAGCCCTTAAAGCATGTGGGTCGAACAATGATAGATAAAACGTTTAGGGCAACGCATTTTTGTTGGTGTATTTCATTTCGTCACTTAAACAGCGGGATTCTTTATTTGCAGTCTGTGCAGCATTCCAAAAATACACAAGCTGCCATGGCAACAAAAAAAGGCATTGCGGTGACAGAAGCTGCAAGACTCGGTTCAACCTACGGCGAAAGTGTAGCAAGAAATGTGTACCTGGGTGCTACTGCCGTAGCGGGCTTTACCGGAACACTGACGGCAGCTGTGTTAGTTTCTTTAAATGTGGAAGCTGGATGAAGTCATTGCAGGAAAAGTTGCAAACAATAATCAAGGGTCGGGCTGAGTAGCCCTCGCAAAGGAATTTGTGCCTCGAACTTCATAACCGCACCATGATTATTTGTGGCAACGCGAAATAGCAACAAGAGCTGCTTTTATAAATAAAAATGCTTATTTAACACGTCAAGCGTTGCAAGTTTTTAATGTGGTATGTTGTTAGCTTTATTATTAAGATGATACAGAAATTTCTGTGGCATGATTATGAGGAATAGGTTCTTTGGGTCAAAGCAAGTAAAATTTATAGCTTACAGTCAGTTTCCCATGTATTGCGCGAAAATGTCTTCACATTAAAGTGATTTAGAAAATGTCGCAAGCCATGTACTCATAACAAAAGGGTAAGTGTTCAAGCCACTTGTATTATGACCCTGTAGCATACCGGCTTCCATGTTTGACCACTGTTGATTGATTTCGAGACCACAACCATTTCGTTGGTACCGACAATAAAGTGCTGTTTTCTAAGACTGCAAACTATTTGGTTTTGACTATAAAACCTCGAATTCAAAATGAAAAATTTTAGACAAGAAAAAAATCTGGAGATTCTATGTACTATGGAATTCAGTGATATGCGAAATATGCGGATAGATCACTTTCGTGTAATTTTATTGAACAAAACGTTATGAAATAACACTAAAGCATGTGATAATGTATGCACAGACATTTGTTCAACCAACACACATATTCTCTTAACCAGTTGTTTAATGTTTCGTAACAACGCCAGCAGCAACACGGCTAATACCAACACCACAGACGGTAAGCAGATTTGTAGCGTTTGTACATGCGAGGATGGTAGCCCTGGATGGTGCTATGGAGAGCAAATTCAGTGGAAGGTGTTTAACTACAATGGACGTTAACTTGACGTAACGTCTGTATAAGAAAGTACTTAAGGTATTTTTTATAGAATTAGATAGCCAGCACTGCAACCACAACTGACGTTTTACCAACACGTCAGTATACAGTCCTTTTTTTCAAAGCGATTCTCAGACATACCGTGGCTCTGGAGTATAGAACGCTTCAATGCAACGGAAAGTGCTGTAGTTAAATTCCTGCTTGTACCCTCATATTTATTCTTGGAATTCGTCGGGTCACCGTTGGATATGTCAATTTTTCTTAACGCTCTCGCACTGAAAATACTGCTGTTCCTTCCCCCATTACTCGGAATATATAAACTTTCAATTACCTGTGGCGCATACCAGCATACTGCGGCTCTTGGAGTAAAATGTAAAGAAAATTTTGCCTTTAACTTTATTTCATAGTAAACTGGGAAAGTAACCTCCGACAAAAGCTATAGAACTGTATGAACACGCAAGGAACGATGATACACAAGTGAAAAAAAATCAAAGAAACGCTGGCACTACGTATACTATGAGATCGTTGGTGGTTATCGTTTCGTCCTCTCTGTTGTTCCTGTAACTTCTTTTTAACAGTAATTCACACTCATAAGGCCATACACAGTGGCTCTATTCGATAATCTCTTAAATAATTACTTAGTTTTGTTTACCTGGGGTACATGTTATTACATCAAAACACCACACCGACATTACTGGCGGCTGCTAGTAATAACCTGATAGTGTTGCTCTCGGCACGAAGACATTTGCGAAAGGAATGATGGCTGAGAAGCAAATGCTCGACAAGCTTAATAACACCATGTACCTTGAAAGACGTTACCAGCAACTCACTTCACTGAATAAAGTTCATTAATTCTTGTCCTCAATGCATCAAGGCCAATACAAGATAACTAGGCATCTGAGGCATAGTTTCACTGTGACCAAGCACTGACAAAACAGTGAGCAGTGCGTGAAGCATATTCAGGTCATTTAGGTTGATCTGACTGTTCTTTTCTATGGCTACTATGGCATGACCGTCGGCTGCCGAAGCCCCAGCTTTGTTATTTCTGGGGTCGTATAGCTGATTGATGAAGTTTATATAAAGTGGGGGAGCGGCGGAAAGACAAGAAGTTGCGACATCTATCTAGTTTAGAAAATCTCTCTTCTTAAGTGTTCATCTGTTGCTTTTAGAGAACCAGTAATGCGATGTTTTTCTGTTCATACAAAACTCCGACTAAGGCATGAGAGAACTGCGTTGCAGGTAATTGTAATGATACCCGGAAAAAAGGTAACGTCACACTTGTAGAGGTAGGATCGCCATCCGATAATACTATACGAGGCAATTTACGAACCCTCTCAGCTGTGCAGATGGCTAAGACAAGGAACAAGGCACAAACGAGGTGAAATAAATATGTACTGGAGGTGACATCACAGGCGCATTCGGTCATCAAATATTGCTGGCAAAAAATAGAGCTTGAAAAGTGAACGTTTGGTGGCTGGATAAAGAGCGAATGGTTATTGGAACTTTTATAAAGCGCATGGAAAAGACGACGAAGTGTCTATTTCATAGAACGCTTGTACCCTTTTCTCAAATTTTCTATTTGTTTTACCGCAAATTCTGGGAGCTGCTGCTCCCTCCTTGCGAGAATGGATGAAGAAGCCTCTCAGGATTTTCGAGGTGGACAACCACTACGTCTGGCAGCGGCTAGGAAACGTGGGACCACCTCAAGTGGCACAGACAGCGAGGCAACGGAGCTATATTCCGACGGTTTCGAGTCATCGGATGACGACTACACAGTCGTCATGAGCCGCAATGCAAAAAGAAGACTGCTACGAACATCGTCGTCGACGAGTATATCCACCGTGCAGGCTACCGCGCAGTGTTGGCCACGCACCATACTCTTCATGGCTGTGGACCCTTCAGCCAACCTACGGCGGCTTAACAGGCAAGTCCTCTCTGCATACCTCGAAGGACTCGCTCCAAATGAAATTAAAGACGTCAGGATCAACTCACGGAAGAATATTCTGGCAGTTGATGTTCTACACCATAGTGCGCTACAAAGCCTACAGAACATCTCGGAAATCGACAGAGTCACAGTTAAATCAGTGATCCCCACTGACTGGAAGGGCAGTGTTGGCGTCATTTATGACGTGGACATTTCCATTCCCGCTGACGATTTCCCAGTCTTCCTAAAGCCAACTACAGACGACATCCTCATTAAGCACATCACAAGGCTTGGTCAGCCACGATGCCTGAAGATTGTTTTTGAGAAAGACAGTCTTCCCCAACACGTCAAAGTTGGCCACGTTCGCCATCAGGTCCGTCCATACATACCGAAGCCCCTACAATGCTTCAGATGCTTCAAGATGGGACATGTCAAAGGAGTATGTACCAGCAATGTTGTGTGCCCGCGTTGTGCCAAACCTCATTCAGAAGACACCTGCCACGCAACTGCGTTCAAATGCTCCAATTGCCACGGCGCTCATAAAGCGTCGTCTAAAGATTGCCCACGAGTGAGAAATGAACGCGTGGTGCTGAAACGCATGGTGCGCGACAATTCAACGCACAGGGAAGCCGCTGCTACTGTCAGGCGACGTCGGCGTCACCACAGAAGATCATCACGCAACGCGGCATCTGCCAATAGAGACCCGTCATCTCAAGCAAGAACTGACCCCTCATCGTCAAGCTCTGCGAAGACGAATACACCGAAAACAGAATCAGGGTCAAGACTCCCACCTCGTGAAGAGTGGCCATCACTTCCACGAACACAGCCTGTTTCAGAGGTGCATCGATCCCCGCCAACCTCGATGTCATCACGAAACACTGACGAAAAGACTACTGAGGATCGCCAAGTCATCAACATGTTGCAGACCCTTATGAGCGCAATGCGCATGCTCCTAAGCAACATGAACACCCCATCAGCGCAGAGCGCACTCCAAGTGCTGGACACTTTGAGTCCGGTGCTTGCAGCTCTAAGGTAAAACGATGGCCCGCAACATGTTATCCTTTCGCGAGGAGGTCAAGAACGCATATGTCCTTCAGTGGAATGCCAGAGGACTTAGGGCGCGTATGTCCGAGTTCCGGCAATATGTATTCACAAACCAGTTCTCCATAATTGTGATTTGTGAACCGAACCTCTCAGCCCAGATGAGACTGTCTGGATATGAGTGCTTTATGTCTTCCACCCACGGAGAGCGCAGCAAGGTCGTTGTGTTCATACGGCGCGACTTAACTTATGTTCATCACCCTGTACCCCCTGATGAAGAAAACCGGTACGTTTGCCTAACAGTAAAAAACAAGAAGACCACATTCACCATCATCAGAGCCTACTTACATCTATCAAGTCGTCTAGACCGAGAGCGCTTGCGCGGAATTTTGAATTCAACTCTCCAGCCATGGGTGATAACTGGTGACTTCAATGCCCACCACTACTTATGGGGAAGCTCCAGGGTAAACACTAGAGGTAGACAGTTAGTGTCTTTCGCTTCTGAATGTGAACTTATCCTCGTGAATGACGGCAGCCCTACTTATCTGCGCGGATCGGCCTATAGCAGTTGCCTGGACCTCACTTTCGTCTCACGCTCGTTCACACGCAGAGTGCACTGGTTTTCGGATTTGGAAACAAGGGGTAGTGACCACATCCCAACATACTTGAAGATTGACTGCTTTCCAAGTCTCAAGTCCTCCAGAGCCGTCCAGTGCACCGATTGGCAAAAATACAAGTTAATCATGGAAGACTATGTTGGCACCTCACCTTTCAACCTCGAGGACGCAATAAAGGGTGCCCTACAGTCAACGACGCGTTCGCTTCCGGTGAGCTCATCACGCACTGATATGAACATTGATCTCGAGAAACTCCGATCGATTGAGACGCGTCTTGATCCCGATCAAACGCTGACGTGTGTACGTTTGGCTCCGGCTACTTACCGTGTTATGACCACCTCTTCAGGTCCTTGGACCCTGGATCACACATCACACCAACTGTAAGTGGACCTGGCACCCATTCGACACCTTGTTGGGATGTGATAATGCTCCTTGAGAACAGTGCTGACTGTTTATTGTTCAGCTCGACCGCTTCCGCGCTAGGCCTAACCGCCGGCCTAGTATGAGTGGAGGCGCCCAGCGCGACGCGGCCAGCGTCGCAGCGGGCGTCGCTGCTGGAGGCGACGCCGCTCGCTCATGGCGTGCTCTACATGCTGACCTTCGTCCCACTGGTTCATCGGCTGACACCTGCGCAGCGGATCTGAAGAAACCATCTTCATGGGAGCCTAAACCTCCACCACTGCCCGATGCGGACTACAA